CCAACTCCTGGGCTCAAGCGAGTCTCCTGCCTCTGCCTCCCAAGTAGCTGGGACCACAGGTGCCCACCACAACGCCCGGCTATTTTTTGGTTGGAGCTGTCAATGTTGTTTGGCGGCCGGGGCTGGATTCGAACCCACCACCTAAGGTGTATGTGGCTGGCGCCTTAGCCACTTGAGTCACAGGCGCCGAGCCAGACTCTTGTCTTGGAAAAAAAAAAAAAGCTAGCATGTGAAGGGGTGATGGGATAGACTTGGAAGGCCCTTCTCTACATGCTACAATCTGGGCTCTGGGACCATTTTCTCCATGGGCTTCCCACCACTGAGGACCGGAGCAGAGGGTTCAGAATGGCAAGAATTTCTAAGTTATGAGGTCTTAAGTTGGTCTCTCACCCCATTTCCCCCTTTTTTGGTCCCTCCAAATCAAGCCCTAACTTTTCACCGTGCCATGTCTCTCATAAGCAAAACATATTTTCTCTTAGTTTAGTTAATTTTTTATAATGAAACGAAGGGAAAATATTAAACTTATATACTTCCACATCTCCAAATCCTAGGTACGTCCTGAGTAACTGCTTGCCAAATAAATAAGGGAAAAATATCAAAAACAGGAAGCCTTTGTTTCTCTTCCCCTTGCTCCCAGAGTAATATTGCAATATCTTAGTGTGACACATAAGATCTTTTGCAATTCGGCCTCAAATTTTCTTTTCTCAAAATATCTACAGTTTACCTACAGATGTTTATGCACCTGTTCACGCAGACCACGGGTTCCTTTCCTAAGCTTTGCCTTATCTCAAATTCAAAGCCAATCAATGTTTATTGGGCGCCTCCTGTATGTTAGGTGCTCTGCCATCCATTATCACGTTTAAAGGTCACAGCAAGCCTGTGCAGTAAGTATCATTCTCTAAAGATGAAGACAGTGCTGGGTGGGTGGCTCATGCCTACAATCCTAGCACTCTGGGAGGCCAAGGCAGGGCGAGTGTGTGAGCTCAGGAGTTTGAGACTAGCCTGAGCAAGAGTGACACCCCCGTCTCTACTAAAAACAGAAAAATTGGGCAGCTCCTGTGGCTTAGCGGGGAGGGCGCCAGCCCCATATACCAAGGGTGGTGGGTTCGAACCCAGCCCTGGTCAAACTGCAACAAAAAAATAGTGAGGCGTTGTGGTGGGCACCTATAGTCCCAGTGACTCGGGAGGCTGAGGCAAGAGAATCGCCTAAGCCTAAGAGTTGGAGGTTGATGTGAGCTGTGAGGCCACAGCACCCTACCGAGGGCAATAAAGTGAGACTCTGTCTCTAAAATTAATTAATTAATTAGTGAAAAACTAAAAATAAAACCAGAAAAATTAGCCAGGCATAGTGGCACATGCCTCTATTCCCAGATACTTAGGAGGCTTAGGCAAGAGGATTGCTCAAACCCAAAAGTTTGAGGAGGTTGCTGTGAGCTATGATGACACCATGGCACTCTACCCAGGGTGACAGAGTGAGACTCTGTCTCAAAAAAAAAATGAAGACAGCAAGGCTTAGAGAGAGATTTGCCCAATGTACCTAGGTAGTGAGTAACAAACAGACTTTGGACCCATCTCTGGTCCCAAACCCACCACTTTCTTCCAGCTTTTATAGGGACTATGGGAAAACTGATGACCCTGGAGAAGGCTGGAACGATCCCACTCAAGGTCCCCTTTTTAGATACCTTTGGAGACTCTGTTTAAGGGTAGACTGTCGGCTCGGCGCCTGTGGCTCAAGTGGCTAAGGCGCCAGCCACATACACCTAAGGTGGTGGGTTCGAATCCAGCCTGGGCCCGCCAAACAACAATGATGGCTGCAACCAAAAAATAGCCGGGTGTTGTGGTGGGCGCCTGTGGTCCCAGCTACTTGGGAGGCAGAGGCAGGAGACTCGCTTGAGCCCAGAGTTGGAGGTTGCTGTGAGCTGTGAGGCCACGGCACTCTACCCAGGGGGACAGCTTGAGGCTCTATCTCAAAAAAAAAAAAAAAAAGGGTAGACTGTCACCATCCTGTTCTCTATCATCTTTCTGCCCTGATGCCAGAGACATGCCAGCAGGAGGCTGAAGCTGCACGGGAAGAGGCTGAGCAAGCCATTGGAGAGCGCGACTGGACCCTGGCTCAGCTCCGGGCCCAGGCGGCAAACATGGAGGCCGAGTATGAGGAAATGTTACATGTAAGCCTCCCCCTGGGGAGCCCAGCTGCCTCAGTGCCCAGCACTCCCCCACACCACAGCCCAGGGGGAGGAGGAGAAGTGCCTCCAAGAGATGCTTCTTTAGCATGGTGTGCCCTGAGGGGCAGGGGCCGGAGGGTAGAGGCGAGAATGCGTCCCACGCCATGTGCTCTATAACACAACCATGCCCACCAGCTCAGAATAAGAATGTTAAGAAAATACTGGTAAGGAAACCTCACACACAAACCTGGGGCACCCCTCACCTGTGCCGTCTCTCTTTCTGGGGGTTGAAATTTCGGCATCTGCAGAACAACTTGGACCAGCTCATGGCTAAACTGAGAGCCCTCAAGCCTCAATACAATGGGCCTGCACTGAGGCTCCGCGCTAGGCACAAGGAGCAGCTGCACCAGTTCGGGCTCAACCCCCTGGATCTTTGAGGCTGCCAGCTTTACTCTCCGGGTCCTCAGAGGCCACAGCAATAAAGCTTCTTGACAAAGAACTCAATAGAGCTGTGGGCTTTGGCCTTTTGGCAGAGAGGAGTGGCTCTCATGGAGACATCTCAGTTCAGGATTGACCCATTATCTAAGAGACTGAGGCCAGGAGAGAAATTAAATAAGTCTCAACCCTTACAGAAACTGAGTCCTACCCCTTGAGCCAGGGCCCTATTACTGTGATTCTTATGTGGTGTGAGGTAAGAAATCTTGTGTCTCCAGTGCTTCAAATTAGGAGGCAGCCCAAAGACACTCTGGTGCCTCCTTCTGACCACTGCCCCTCACCCCCACCAACACAAACACAGGCAGCCAAATTTATGGTGGATGGTCATTTCTGTAACAAATGCAACAAGAACCAGGCCCCTCCTTGTCCCATAGTCCTAAGGTGCCCACAGAGGGAAGGTGTAGCTGGTCTCCAAATTCTTGCATCACATTTAAGGATCTTGAAGTCATACATAGGGCAAGAGCCAGATGGCTTCAGTCCTAGCCAGCCCCGCAGCCCACAACTTGACCTTGGGGCACAGCTCTCCAAAGCTCCCAGATGACATCCTCTGGGGCCCCAGGCTCCCTCATGGGCTTTTCTGAGACCTCTGAGCACACCCTCTTCACGACTTGAGAGGCAGGTCAGTGGGAAGGGAGGGAGCCTCTGGAAAACCCTGTGATGGGTGGCATTTGAGTCCCTAGGGCTCCAGGCCTCTGGCTCAGAGAGAACATCTTGCTCCTGCCACCTCAGGCTGATGAGTGACAACGGGAAAGCCACTGGGTAGATCTCTGTCAAGCAGGGTGCTTTTACAGCAGCTCTGAGGCCGGAGCCCAGTCCTATACAGAGACATAAGGGAGAAGGTCATTCCAGGACCAAAAGAGCTCCTTTTCCCTGCCATTACCTGCACTGAAATGTCCAGGAACGGGGCTTGTTCCACATGTCCTTCTGTCCCCACCTACCATCACCCAACCTGCATACCCCATACTATACTCTCCTGCCCACCCTGCCTTCTCTCTGGCCCCTCTTTGCCTTCTCTGCCTATTCACAGTGGTGTGTGTTTCTTCTCCCTCACCTCTGCAGACCCTGGGGGGATCCAGGCTTTCCAGTCCTGCTGAGACCTGGCTGCTAGCTTCAGGCAGAGGGGTGGCTCAGCCTCGGCCAGCTGCTGAAGCCTTTCCAGGTCATTCTCTCCACCCACAGGATAGCCATTCACCTCCAGAATCACATCTCCCATTTGTAGCCCTGCCCGGGCAGCTGAGCTACCTGGAGTCACCTGGTGGTATGGGGTGGGGTGCAGAACATAGAACATAATAAGAACATTTGTTGGATATACTATAAGGCTCTCGAAGGGATGCAGAGGAGGGCTGATCAGGAGGCAAGTGGTGGAAAGGAACCAAGGTCCATTGGATAGCACTCACCTGGGAGACAAAGAGACGAGGCCCATTGGCCACACAGCTGAGTCGGAAGCCGTAGCCACCCCCAGGCCCAGGATATAGGATACACTTGTGGTCGCCCAAAGGGCCAGGAGGCTCAGCTGTTTCTGCAATTGGTGGGTCCCCAGTCTCAAACAGAGAGGCTGAGCAGGTGTCTTGGGGAGAGGCAGGAACCTCTGTGCTCTTCAAGAAGAGGAGTGGGGACAGGCGAACCTAGGAGGAAGCAGGAAGAGCAAACCTGTCATTGCTGAGCCCTGCTCCTCTCCTGCCCCATCCCAGCCCCCGCCCCACAGGGCACACCATAGTGAAGAAGCGGTCAGCCGCAGGGTCGACAACAGTGAGGGAGACACGGGAGCCCTGTGCGCGGATCCTGGACACTGTCTCCTCGTGACCCAGCCCCTCCACACTTTCCCCAGCCACAGCCACCAGCCGGTCCCCAGCCTGCATCCCGGCCTTCTCAGCTGGCTGTCCTGGGTCCACCTCCCGCAGGAACTGTCCTAGGACATAGACATCCTCAATGCTCCTCCTGGACTTACCTGGGTATTGTCCCAAGCCCCTGTGTGCACACGAGGCACCTGACCATGGGGGCACCAGAAGAGGCAGCCTCAGACAGGGATATCTCTTGTGTGCACCGAGAGGTGTGTATACTGTGTGTGCCCACCCCAAGGCCCACCTTCCCTGCCCTCCATGGGGTTCCCACTTACCAGGGCGACCATCAAGGCCCTTCTCCTCCCGCAGCAGGAACCCAAAGCCCTGAGGTCCTTTCTCTAGGTGCAGACATCGGGGCTTGGTGGGCAGCGCCCAGCCCTCCGCCAGGGGTGCAGCCAGGGGCACTCCCAGCTGGCGACACTGTTCCTCCACCTCTGGCCCTGCCACCAGCAAAGTCACCTGCTCTCCACTCTGCCAAAGCTGTGGGGACCCAGCAGGGCATTGGCGTCAACCACCTGGATAGGGAGGGAAGAGGCAGCCCCTCCTCCCCTAGGCAGGAGAATGAGGCACTAAGCAGGGGCCTGGCAGGAGCCATAGAGAGGAGGATGGCTATGGAGGAGATCAGATTAGGAGAGTAGGGGCTGGGGAGAAAGTCGGCTTCCTGAGGGGAAGCCCCAGGCCCACTGGGGGCAGGTGTGCACAGGAAACAGGCCACTGTACCTTCCTGGTGAGTTGGTTATAAGTGAACTTCTCCACACTGACACCATTCATTTCCAGCAGTCGGGCCCCTGGGGGCACGCCTGCCCGCTCAGCTGCTCCTCCAGTACTTAGCACCAACCAGAAATGACCCCGATAGCCTGGAAGCAAAAAAAAAAAAAGGAAGCAAGTTCCGGCCTGCTGCCTGCCTGCAACAGGAACTGAGTTCCGCCACTTGCCTCCTCACCACCCCTGCTACCCTCTAAGCTCACCATGGGTGACACTGAAGCCAAAGCCACCCTCATCTTTCACTATGTGGCATAGCCGGGGCCGGACACCCGGGCCAAGGGTAGGGCAGAGGTGGGCATCGTCCACCTGCTGAGCACGGACCACATCATACACATGTCGCGCCAAGACCGTCAGCAACACCCTAGGACTGCTGGCCCGGATGCGGCGTACCACCTGTACACACAGGGGAGAGGTTTGGGCTGTTCCTCTTGCCAACCTCCAGGACCCCCCAGCCCCAGCCCCTGGTTTTTGGTGTGGAAGCAGCTCTCTAGGAGCCTCCTCCAACCCTTCTGACCTGGGCATTCCTCAATGTGAGGGGAGTGAGGCTTGCATCCTGCAATCATAGTGCCCAGAGAGGTACCCGGCCCGCTTCTCCCCCCATGGTGCCTTGGAGCTCTCCCGTCCCACACGGAGCTCCGGCCCAGCCTTACCGAAACATAGTCTTCGTGCTCCACAACATCACTGTTCACCCCCAGGATCCTGTCTCCTTCCTGGAGACCCTGGCGCTGGGCAGAGGTACCTGGCTCCACCCTGCACACCACGTGCCCAGCCCCGTCACGCCCCTGCTGCAGGTGGAAGCCAAAACTCCTGCTTTCCTCTTTGCTCAGCAGACAGAACCGCAGCCGCTCCCAGCTCCGGGGATCTGGAGGGGGAGGTAACAGCACAAGACGGGGAGAAGGACCAGCACAGGTCCACCACGAGACTGGCAGCCTCTGTGTTCTGACTGGGCGCTGGGTGCTTCCCCCCAGTTAGGTGTTGGGTGTCAGGGCGAATGCTGTCAGAAGGAAGCACCCCCCCCCACCCCATCTCCATGTAGTCACTTCCAACCAAGCTGTCATCGGGGAGACCTAGTGAGTGGTTACCAAGGAGATGGGAGGCCGTGTGGAGCTGTCTTCAGGGAAAGGGAATGGTTGCCAGGGGAAGGGGGTTACCAGAGGGGTCGCGGTCTTCCGCCAAGGAGAGAACAGGATTGTCAATGCCCAGCTTTGGGTTAAATTTAAACTTGCTGCAAGGAGACAGAAGCAAGTGGATGCTGGTAGCTGGACTTGGGTCCCAGGCTCTACTTTGGGTACAAACGCAGCACGGAGCTTCCCCGCCTCCGATTCCTTCCCTCCTTTGCCCCAACCCTGACGGCACTTACAGCAACAATGAAGCTGCGTCCTGAAGACCTCCTGGGCAAAGAAGTGGATGAGAAAAGGGGCACATTCTGCCCTCCCAGATTCCTCTTCCAGTTTTCCAAGGACTTAGGGGAAACCCCCAAACTCAGGACTTGCCCCCTCATTCTGCGCTAAAGGAGTCTTCTCTTCTCACTGAGATACGCTCAGGGACATTGTGTCTCCCCTCCCTGCCCCTAAGTCTTAGGTACATAAATCTGAGCATATCTGTACAGGGTGTGGTGTGGATCAGGAAGACAGACAACAGTAACAGTAACTCACTTCTTTTCCCCTAACTTCTATTTGCCTTGGGCCTTCAACTCCCAACATCAAGCGTATCCCAGTCCCAAAGCCTCACTGTCCAATTTGCCCCAATTGCCCCAAAGCCCTCTCCAGAGGATTTTTTCTGGCCTACCTGCAGCTGCCTCCATAGCTGGCTCAGTCACCCAGTGCTCAGAGGAGGGACAAGGTCCATCCCAACTAGCTCACCTATCCCTCCCAAGTCCCGCCTCCTTGAAGACAATGCCGTGGAAGCAATGGGGTAATGGTTAACGGGAATGAGAGTCTTATCCTCTGGGCAAGTGCACAGGGTCCTCTTCCCTCCATTCCTGGGCCCCAACTTTCCCCAGAGACCCTGAAGCTGACTGAGTCGCCCCTCTACACAGAGAAAGCAGATTGCTGGTCACTGTAATTCCAAGCCTGGGGGTAAGTACAAAAAGGATGACAGGAGTTCCAGGGCCCAGCATGTGCCAAGCTCCATCCCACTGTCTTGTTCCTGGGCCCCTCCAGCCCCCACTGCCTCTGAAAATAGTGCCCAAGAGCCACTTGCAACAAAATGTGGGTACCAGACAAGGAAGAAGGCTGCAGTAAGTGGAAGACAGACAGCTGTTTAATAGCAACAAGTCAGGTGCATCTGCCCCAAGGGGCCACCAAGCCATTGCTATGGTGATGGTAAAGGGGGCAGGAGGACAAGGAGAAAGCACCAATTTCAGGGCATCTTCAGTGTCACCAGGTGAGTATAGGGCAGAAGGGTGCCCTCAACACATCTTCTGGATGTCAACATCCCTGGGACGGGAAGTGTGACCCTTGATGGCACAATCAGAGGTTCCTCAAGAGGAGGGAGAGGCAACATTGCTACAGGCAAGTTGGCCACCCGAATGCCACATCCTTTAGTCCTTCTAGCTGAAGGAAGGGGAGGTATATTCCATCTCCAAGTCCAAGGCATCAATTCTTCCTCTGTGACCCTGGACTTCCAGGCTTGGGGGTACCAGTTGGACATGCCCCAGGAGGCTATTGGCACAGCCCTGCCCATTCCTTTGACTCTAGGCCTAAAGGGATCTTTCTAGAAGGTGTAATGCAAGCCAGGAGCCCACAGAGGGGAAGGGTTTATGGCCAGTGGTCACACAGGTAGGTGCCTGCTGCCACCATCTCAGCTTCCAGGGCCTCCCAGCTGCTCCAGGAGGGCCCTGACCTCACTCTCCACCCGCAGCAGCTGAGCCTTGCGCCAAGGGTTAAGGGTGGCACCCCGGCTGTCTTCCAGATCCCGCAGCAGTAGCTCCAGGTGGCGTCGGACTCGGGCCCGATCCCAGCTGTTGAGGTTCCGCTGGACTTCACTGAGGATCACGGACCAGTACTCAGACACTGCTGCCCCCTCTGTCAGTGACGCCACGACACGAGCACCACCTTCAGTGGTGCTCCCCAAGTCACGCAGGACCTGGCGGCCCTCTGAGCTCAGCTCATTGAAATAGAGGCTAACAGGAGAGAGAAAGTAGATGCCACTGAGCAGGACTCTGAGAAGGAGGCCCACAGATAGATGGACATAAGTCAGGAGGCCTCCCAACTCATCTCCTGGCTGTGGAACACAATGGGGTAAGTGTCTGCAATAAGCCAGAGATGGAGGGTGGTGGCCACTGGGAGGAAAGCACTTACACTAGAACTTAGTGGGGCCAGGGACAGTAGGCCCCCAGGAAACATGGTTGAAGGGAAGGAATCAGGGCTGAGTAAGAGCCAGTCACAGAATAGGTGGGTTGGCTGGGAAGTAGGTGAATAGGGATCAGTCAGAAGCCAGGAATAGAGGACAGGTACCAGGCCCACAAGCACTCCCTAGGGTAGGAAGACCATAGTGGAGAAGGAAGGAGACTGAAGGGCTGGGGCGAGGGGACCAGGGACAGCACTCACTGCAGCAGTTCCAGGGAAGGATGTTCCCGGGCAGCCCTGGCCAGGGCCAAGGCTGCCGTGTCACCAGCACCGTTGTAAGCCACATTCAGCTCCTGCAGCTGCTGGTTGCGGTCCAGCTGAGTAGCCAGCAGCTCCAAGCCCTTGTCCCCAAGGCCCGTGTGCAGCAGGGACAGGTGGGTTAGGGAGGTATTTCCTGCCAGCCCCTCCACCAGCAGGGCTACACCCTCCGCTGTCAGTGGGTTGTTGGACAACCTATAAGCACAGGCGACCCAATGTTAGGAGGGTCCATTATAGAGGCCCTATGCTGGGTGATAGCACTTGGGCCAAAGTGGGCACCGCCTGGGGCAGAGAGGAGCCTGGATACAGAATGCAGGCCCAAGTGGAGATGGAGAAATAGGAGTGTGACATCCTGCAGAGTAGGAAAATTGAGGGCAAGCTGGCTTCTCCTTCCCTCCTCTCCCTCCTTCCATCTTCCTTTTCTCTCTGACTCCCTCCCTGCCTGCCCCCTTCCTCCCTTCACCATTACTATTTCCCTTCTGCCTTTTTTCACCCTCTCCCCAGCCTCTGCTTCTCCCTCCCTATTTCCCACCCATTCCTTCCTTCCTCCTTCCCCGTTTGCCTTTCCTTACTCCAACCAGAACCTAGGAAGACAGGCATCTGGGTTCCAAGAACATCGGCCAGCACTCACGGAGCACCTACCGAGTGCCTGGCACCATAAGCTGCAGGAAAACCCCAAGAGGGGATCAGTGGCACTGTTACCAGGCCACTGGCCTAGGTATTATTGGTCCTCTTCCCCAACCTTCTGCCTGCCCCAGACTGATTTTAGCCATGTGAGAGGCTTTCTTAGCACTTATCACAGGTGCCATCTTTTCCCCTGTCCTGCTGCTTGTAATGGACCGGGAGGGGAAAGGATAGGGCTTACGACACCCTCCCTGCTTACTACACCATGGGTAGGCCCGTGCCACATATGCTGTAAGGTAGGGAGCTCACCCTTGACCTTATCTGGCCACCAAGATGGCCAAAGCCTGGTCTACCCCCTCTCCCAGGATACTCACCGCAGAGTGGTAATTTGGCACTGCTTATGCAACAGCAGATCTCGGAGGTCCTTGCAGGCGTCGGGGCCCAGGCTGTTGAGTTGCAAGCTGGAGCAGAAGGTGGCCAAAGGGGAGGTGAGAAAGGCAGGAAGAGCTCAGCACAGAGTGTGCCCATGTACCGGGCCCCTTCTCATTAGTTTGTCTCTTGCAAGCCACCCACCCTCCCTTCTTCTGTTACTCCTGGCACTTTCACCCACACCAGACTTACTCATCCCATGCCCTGGTCACTCCTTAGTAGCTGTGGTTTCCCTTCTCTTCCCACCTCTTCACCTCCAACCCTCTCCTCTCTTTATGCCTGGGCATGAGGAAGGTCCTCACCCCAGCTTCCGGGCACGCAAGAAGACGGGCATGAGCGTGCGCAGTCCAGCAGGGTCCAGCTGGCAGGAGGCCAAGTTCACCTCTTCCAAGGTATGCCTTCCACTGCCCAGGACAGCAGCCACCACCGTGCATTTGAGGGGTGTCATGCGCACGCCCGCCAGGTTGAGCCTGTGGAGGGAGCGGAGCACCTCAGCGGAAAAGCGCTGGTTCTGGAACTCGTAGTGGAAGAAGAGGTAGTCAAGGAGCTCCGAGGGAGGCAGCACCTGCCGGCCCAGCTTGCCCAGCTTCTTCTTGATGGCCTGGGCGTTCTCCAGGGCATCCATGTTCTTAATGGGGCAGCCGAGCTGAGCCAGCACGGCTCGGTTATGAGCAGATAGAAGCCCCCCCATGAATATGGGAAAGAGCTCAAAGACTTCATCCTCAGGGGGCTCATCTGGGTGGCGCCGCGGGCCCTCCACACCCAGGATACTGGCTCCCATCTGGTCCAGAACATCGTCATTATAGTAGTCTTCCTCTCGAAACATCTCCAGCACCATGGCCTGGGCTACTGCATCCCGGCTTTTACCCATCACGCGCCCAAATACTCGCGGGACCACCTGACAAAGAAGCAGGGAGAGTTGCCACAGCCTCTTGTGTACTTGTTCAACCTTCATAAGTCCCTGTCACTGCTCCAGCCTCACGATCTCCCCTTCAACTCACAGCACAATTTGTCTGATCACACTGTTCCCTGCTGCAAGACCTTCCATGGCTCCCTACTGCCCATGTGGCAAACTCCAAACATTTAGCCTGGAATATGAAACTTTTTATAATCGAGTCCCATTGTGACTTCTCTCAACACTTATCTTGTGCACTCCGGACATTAGGAACTTCTTTCTTTTTCCCAAACACTCAATATATTTTTAAGCCTAGGAGGTCGTGGAAAGAAATAAGCATGTATCATGCATTTAGTTTGGGACTAGATTAGGTATTACAAATACATCACCATCTTTGACATCCTCATCATCATCATGGCAACTACGACTGATGTAGCTCCTAGTGCTTCAAGGCACTGCATGACCTGGGCCCTGCCAACCCCAGTGCCTTCATCACAAGCCCCTTGTCCCCCTCGCTATGCACTTGCTCTTCTCATCTTCTTGACAGTGCCAAGGTTTCTCCTCCTTCGAAGGCACCATCGTGCTGCTCCTTCCTACAGTTTTCCCCCAGTTCTTCTCTCGGCTAATCCTACAGGGATCAGACTACAAAGTCTTCCATAGAGAGGCTTTTCTGACCCCTCAAAACTAGATTCCGCCATTATGTACTTTCATAGCACCTGGAACTTTTCTTTCTAGGCATTTAGCATAATTTTTCATTTTACAGTTACACTGATGTGTGTGTGTTCAGACTATAAGATCAAAAAGGACAAGGCCGTGCCTGTGGCTCAAAGGAGTAGGGCGCCAGCCCCATATATTGGAGGTAGCAGGTTCAAACCGGCCCCAGCCAAAAAAAAAGAAAGGGCAGAAACCTATAGGAGGTATTTTTGTTTTTGTTTGAGACAGAGTCTCACTCTGTTGCCCGGGGTAGAGTGCCATGGCATCATAGCTCACAACAACCTCAAACTCTTGGACTTGAGCACTCCTCTTGCCTCAGCCTCCCAAGTATCTGTTTTTTTTTAGAGACAGGGTCTCACTCTTTCCCAGGCTGGTCTCAAACTCCTGAGCTCAACCAATCCACCCACTTTGGCCTCCCAGAGTGCTAGGATTACAGGCATGAGCCACTGCCCATGACCTAGAAATCTGCAGTTTTATTAACTGATTTCTCCTTAGAATCCAACACACTGAAGTATTTGACAAAGAAATGAACAT